TTCTGACTTGATCCCAAAGTCAAGTTCTGCAAATTTATGATGAGAAAAATATCAAAATACAAATTAGATAGCTAATGAATCAGAGTGAAAGGGAAAAGGGAAGAGACTCAATGAATTAAAGTAAGAGACAGGAGACTGATAGTGAACAGACAGCCTCAGAGTCAGAGGGTAGGAGAAAGAAGGTCTAGAGAGGGGAGGTAAAAGGGGTTTATGACCCAAAATTTCACCATAAAGCTCAGTCTCTTTCTCTCTGACCCATTTGACCTAAAACCAGGGAGGTAAGGTGGTGGTGCATTTTGAACAATGATGACAAAGGGTCCTGAAACTCCAAGTGTGTGGAGAGTGGAGTCCTATTACATACTTTGTTCCAGAAACAACACCACTGACATTAAACTCTTCAAGTGAGATGATCCCAGGATCAGAAGTTCTGCCATGCTGGGCTTAATGGTGTTAGCTAATTCCACCCTCTGTGAGCAGAGAGCTGTTGAAGAGATAGTATATGTTCCTGCTGAAGCTAGGAGAGTTTTAAGAACCCTGGAACACCGTCACTCTTGTTTGGGAAAATACTCCCTAGAAGTTCTACCTTTCATAGAATACACAGTATTCCTGACAGCCTTGAGAAGGCATTGTGAAGAGAACATTTCAGATAAATTAAAATCCTTACCTTTTTTCTGTTAAGCAAACAGATGCTTTCCAAAGAACTCCACCTTTCATTTACAGGAAGCTGAATCACATGAAGCCTGGGTACAGTTTTCTATCATGGAGGTTATGGGATGTGGAGAGAATATGTGGAGAACTCCTCCCAAAGCACTGTGTCAGATGAAAACAACAATTTCTACCCTGGAGCAATGAAGACAGTTGTAAAACTTAGAGGAAGTTTCTTAATTTGTCTCTTGAGAACAGTATGAAAGAAACTACCCCTGTGCTCTGAGAAACCCTCTGAAACCAGCTATTTTTTACCAGTTTATCTTTGGTAAAAGTGTAAGTAAACACATTTCTTTTTATTGCACTGGAAATTTATAGTAATTCCACAAAGGTTTTAAATGTGTGAGGCTTTTATCCTCAGGAGTTCTAAGAAAGCCCTACTCCCAAGGAGTCCCAAAGGATGTCAGTGAGTTACCTCATTGACAAGGCAGGAACTGTAGAAAAGTAGCTAAATTTCAACTAGATATGAATTGCAACTGAGAAAACCTCACTCACTTTTTTAATGATCGGCTTTAGTTAGTCTCTTTTGGAAATATGAAATGCATTGAAGCCAGTTAGGTTTTGGTGGACATGAACCCTGGCCCCACCACATCCACTATCTAAATTTAATTAACTATATTAATATTTTCAATTTCCAATTTCATCTTTTGTAAAGGTCAACTAATAATAATATTTATTTACCCCATTTGTCATATCATCTATGTTTTAAACTAGTATATAGAGAAAAAAAGAATGAGAATTATTGAATACTTTTGTTATGCATTTTTTCTTTTATTTCTAAAGATATTTCCTTTGACACAAGGAAGAAAGCTAGGCCTTTGAATTTGGATGTAATCATCAACTATTAAAGTTGGGACATTATGAAATTATTTTCCTAAGATGGATGGAGACCAGGATTTGCTACCTAGTGTCCTGCCAGTTAAGTCATTGCCTTTGAGATGCCTATGATAAGGTTTACATCAGAGATACAGAGTGAGGGTGGTAGAAAGAAGCAGGAGACAGATTGCAAAACACTTCTCATTTTAGCTTGTGTGTCTAAGCACCAACTAGCAAGAAAGTGTCTGAGAGAAACGTCTTAGGGAAAATGATACTGCCAACCTGGCCCTTTTTTTTTTTTTTTTTTTAATTTCAAACAGGCTGGAAGAATTTTGAGAACAGTTTTTGGTGTGTCACTTAAAGCTTTTAGACCACTGTTCTCCACCAGTATAATGGGAGTATGAAGACAAATTTATAATTTTACCATTTTACCACTATATAATTTTATAAAGAATTAAAGATATAACATAAAAGTAGTAATCCCTGACTCAGAAAAAGTGCAGAATAAATTATTGTGTTCTTATTAATCCTTCTTCAACTTGAGGAATTGAGGTGAAAAAGTGAGAGAAGACTCACTCAAGGTGACAAAACCTATTAGTAACAAAACATGCTTAGAATCTAAATCTCTCAACTATGAGTCTAAAGCTTTTTTAAAAAAAATATTATTTTAATAACATATTTATAGTAATGGCATAAAATTTCTTGTCCTGTAAAACAAAAGTCAACTAGGCAAGAGCCTGTGTCAATGATCTCACCAAGTCCCTTCAACCTCTGAGTGAATTCTGTGAAGACTCTTTAAATATTTCTTGTGGACAGAAAGGTTGAGATACCTAACAACTCCACATAAAGCCAAACCAGTGTACCCAAGGTTTGACTGAGGGCAGTGAACTCTGGTCATTTAGTCATGAAAACTATGCAAATGAGAATACATGACAACTAATGTTTGTACTCTCTTGTATTATTATTATTATTATTATTATTATTATTATTATTAATATTTGGTACTAGGGATTAAACCCAGGTGTGTCTCTCTACCGCTGACCACACCCCTAGCTATTTTTTATTGCAAGTTTTATTTTTACACAAGGTCTCACTAAATTGCTGAGACTGTCCTTGAACTTGGCCTCCTTCCTCAGATTCCCAAGCCACTGAGATTAGAGGTGTGTGCCACCATGCCCAGCACTCTTTTGTCTTTTGATCCATGTGTCTCATGTAAAATCTCAGAGTGAATTAGGACCTTACTTTAAAATATGTTCACTTAATATCTTACTAAAGTTAGTGTTCCAATGAATAATAAAGAAATTATTTAGATCAAACCTAATCAATAAAATGGAAATTTGAAACGATATATTATTTTACTGAGATCCGAAATAGCTAAAGATCACTGAGAAAAACTTTCGTTTTTCAAGTGATGAATGGAGAATGAAAAAATATTATAGAAAATAATTTAACATAGATAGAAGAAATAACTAAAAATAGAATTTATTTGAAATATCCCCTTCTAAACTATGTCAAAGGGTGAACTGCAGTTTTAATCAACATTTGCAGATAATGCCAGCAATGTCTATATTCACTTTGCAAACATTTCATTAGGTTAATAATAGAGATGGATTTAAACTTTACTAGGTAAAGATATATCATACACTCATACAGTCAATGTATGTTTAGTAAAACAGAGATGCCTCAGTGAACCTAAGAGAAAAAAAAATCCTCTACCTCTTAGCTTACCGTCTATGAAAGGAGACAAACAAAAATACAAGTATACAAATTGTATGGAGGGTAAGAGAGTGATATAGATCTCAAAGAACAGAGAGGTAGTGACGAGGAGGCTTAATGAAAGCCACAGTGCAGAGTTCTGCTTTTTAAGATGTAGGCAGTGTGAGATGCATAGAGAATGAGAATAGAATAAGCCAACACACCGATGGAAGAAGGGTCCAAATCAAGAAATATGTGCAAAGGCTGTGAGCTAGGAGATGACCCTGTGTGTTCATTGAAAGAAAAAGAGCCCATAGGGAGGAAGGATGTGAGAAAGAAGCAGTCACAGAGGTCACAGTGACCCAAATTGTAGAATCTGGGAGGTCACTGGCAAGACTCCACCTTTTCCTCTAAGGAAATGGAGAACAACTGTGAGATTATGAGCAAAATCATGTTTTCATATTACCTATGAGTTAATACAGCATCTTTCCTGAATCATTTCCTGTTTAAAGGTAGAAACCCACTCTTGTTCTTTCAGATATCCAGAAACATTTTCTTAAATTTCCACCTTTTATATTGGCAGTGTATTCCTGAAAATTCTTTGACTAATTCTGGTAACTATAAGGAGTAAACTTAGTGGTAGCCCAACAAGATCACTGAGATGAGTATCATCATGCCTAAGCAAATCTACAGAAAAGACACCATGGAGATGTAAAGCCATAACTATTATTAGGAGAAACTGAATTATGTCAGTACATAGATTTTTTTTCCAGAAGCTACATGGTAACCTGAGATTACTAAACTTTAGCAATAAGAATGACTTATTTATCTACATTTAAATTATCTCTTTATTGATAATTACACCAATAGAATTATTTTCACTTGGTAGTCAAAGTCAAGAAAATTAAAAACATACAAATTGAAATGTGATCCTTTTTTAAAAATTGATGTTTTACTCTCTGGTGCCTCTGGCTACTATTTCTTCTGCAAGGGGAGGAAGTCACAGCCCTATGTACACATCTTTAGGAAGGCATTGCTGGTATACTGGTGTTTCAAGAGTTTCCTTGGACTTTACTTGAATAAGAAATACTGATTGCTGACTCCCATATGGAGTGTGCTCCACTGTCCCCCCACAACAGCTGATTGGTGGTTGTCTCATATCTGAGAGGAGCTATCCATAGGCAGAACTGGACCGATCAAATCCTATCTCCCAGGAAATGCAAGAAGGGACTCAAAATTTTCAGCCCACACTGAATGTTAAAGTCACATGACACAGGAAATCCTTCAGTATAAGTTTTATGAATCTCTACTCTGTGCTTGACTTGAGTCCTTCAACAGTCACTAAGATCATTGTCATCAATCTTTTATACCATGAAGTAGTGTGAGTAAATTTCTGTTAATAATAGGCAGAATATTTTTGTCTTTCCTCTGCAAAGATTTTGCAAGTAGAGTGAATGGAGAGCAATCAGTAGGTAATTTCTCTTTTCATTCTTTATTTTTTTTATTATTAGATTCTAAGGAAGCATACAATTCAACTATTTTTCACTTACATATAAGGAAGCATACAATTCAACTATTTTTAACTTACATATGAAATATCAAGTTGCCAACTCAGATCTGATACCTGATGTGAAAGTAAAGATCATTTTCTGACCCCTACATGAAGGTTTTTCTATAAATGTGTATTACCATATTTTTATACAAAGGAAATACTATAAAGTTTCAATCAGAAAAATAAAATTTACTTATTAGGTCAGAAATTTAATTTTCCAAGTGTTTAATGTCTACCTTTCATCAGAAACAACTACCAGTCTCTTCCACAATTTCCTCATGGAATTTTTTACTTCCTTATTCCTGAAAGTGTAAATCAAAGGATTAAGCAAGGGAGTTAGGATGGTGTAAAATATTGCTACCATTTTGTCATAGGGAAAGGCAGATGGAGGCCGTGCATATATAAATATGCATGGGACAAAGAACAAAACTACAACAGTAATGTGAGATCCACAGGTGGACAGAGCTTTCCTCCGCCCCTCAGCACTGTGTGTTCTCAGGGAGAACAAGATGAAGCCATAGGATACAAGCAACAAGGAGAAGTTGATGATGCAGATTAACCCACTGTTGGCGATCACCAGAAGGCCTAGGACATGAGTGTCAGTGCAGGCCAGCTCCAGTAATGGGTACAGGTCACACATGAAATGATCAATAACATTAGGTCCACAGAAGGGCAGCTGGAAAGTAAAGAGAATCTGTATGATGGAATGCAAGAAGCCCCCTGTCCAGGCCATCCCCACCAGAATGCCACAGAGCCTCCAGTTCATGATGGCAGAGTAGTGCAAGGGCTTGCAAATGGCCACATAGCGGTCATAGGCCATGGCTGTGAGGACAATTACCTCTGCTCCAGCAAGGAAGTGCTCAGCAAAAAGTTGAATCATGCATCCTTTATAGGAGATGATTTTTCTCTCATAAAGGGAGTCCACAACCATCTTTGGTGTGATGACAGAGGAGAAGCAGGCATCCAGGAAGGACAGGACAGCCAAGAAGAAGTACATGGGGGAGCCCAGTAGTGCAGGGCAACAGAGGATGGTCACTACAATCAGCATGTTGCCTCCAACAGTTGCAATGTAGACCAACAAAAACACAACAAATACTATTTTCTGAACTCTTGGATTATTCGAAAGGCCCAAGAGGATAAACTCAGTTACAATGCTCTGGTTTCGCATGTTTTCCATGGAAAAGGTGAAGGTAAAACTGTGATCATGTAAACATATAATTTGGATAAAAAAATGCATCAATCTATTTGTAATATTATAGTCATCAACTAGTTGCTACAAAATTAGGTGGACTTGTCTTGAGTGCTTTTGTTATCACTGAAAACATATTATTAGATATTTATTGAAGGCTGTTGTAGATCAGGCAAAATTGAGGTATTGATAAATTCTTGTACACTTTACGAAAACCAGATTTTTCAACATGGTGGAGAAATTACTTTGTCAAAATCCAGCTTTAACCATTGTGTAGGAGCTGCCTAGTGTATTGTTGAAAGGCATTCTGAAGCTACACTCAAGTTGCAAACAAGGAAACACTATTATTTATTAATCACACCTTCCATAGGCATTTAATGAGGCAGGGATGAGTAGCCTGCCATGCTCGATTAGAGGACTGCTTCATCCTTCCTCTACTATTAGAAGAAGAAATAAGAGGCAGTTGAGGTGTTTCCTGACCACCATGGATGCTCCTCAAAAATTTCTTAAAATCATTGGAAAGAATTGATCCTGTGAATGAGATGATTCATTCTTTATAAAACAGAAATATGTATAATAAACTGCATAGCTCTACTATACTTGGTGCATGAATGCATACAAAGTTTTGAGATTTTACTTGCCATTTATCATTTAAAACTGTGAACAAAGGTTAACAAAAATAATGCCTGTTTTATGCTGAATAAATGGAACAGTGCAGGGAAAGCAATTGCTTAGGACCCACAATCTGTGTGAGGTTTTATTATCCCCATTTGTTGTAGAGGAATATGTATTTAAAGCTTAATTCAAAGCAAATGACAGATGCTTGATTTACAGTTTTAAAACTGAATCTCTAGCCCCCAAATTCAGTTTTCTCCCAGAAGATCAGCAGAGAAAGGACTAGGACATTTTCTTTTCCAGCAGTAAGTTCAGGGAAGCCATGGTCTCTCTACAGTTTTGGTCCACCTTGAAGTTTAAAGCATATTATTCCTTTGCTCATGTTTGAATGAAGAATCTTGAGAAAAGAATCAGAGCCATCATGAAGAGTCAGCAGGTGCTTGTCCAGTCACCTGCAAATGCATATTGGCAACACGTAGGTGAGGAAAGGAATAACTGGGTGAATAAAATTCAGAGTCTTGAGACTTTATTATTATATATTCATTATTTATACATGTCACCCTATCTGAGCAGATATAATCCTTCAAAACACATGGTTTCAAATTTATTTATTGTAAATGACTTTATTGTAACATAGAAATGTTCATAAGCAGCTTATGCGCTCATCTCCAAGGATTATAATGATGGTCAAATTTGGTAACATATAAATATAAATTATAAAATGTTCTTACTTGAAAACCAGGTGTTTTTACCTACAGGAAGCTTTTCCATGATTCTCCAGATAAATACTCCCAACTCTTGATATCATTTGCTTCTGGTTGACACAGCTTCAAAAGGTGACTGTATTGTCACCTGTGCATATGACAGAATCACAAATAGCATTTGTGTCTGTGAATATTTATATACATATGTACATACATATGTATTTTTTGTTGTTAAAATACGGGAATAAAACCATAATTGGGTTTATTCGAGAATGAAAAATGGGCCTATATGCATGACTTCCCCTTAGAGCCAGCAGAAACAAATTGGAATATTAATAAAGCTAACATGCACAAGTATGTGCCTTAGCGTTTGACAACAGCCACTATCACTGTGATTTCAATTCATTCCTCACTGAGGTCTGCAACATGAGCTCTGTTTCCACTGTGAGCTCTGTGTCCAACACTCACATCTTATCACCAAGGAAACAAGAGTATAAAGTAAACCCTACAAGGTCACTGACTCAGACAACAGCCCTAGAAGATCAATATATAATTTAGTAGGGGTCAGTTTAGCCAAACTCATGAAGACCTGGCTTCCAAACTTTCTGAGACTAGGTTAATTATAACTCTCAAAAAATCTAAAAGCCTCAAGTTTATGCTCTGTGAATGAGTTTAATAGGAAGGGCTACTCACCTGGTTCTTGTGAGTCCAATGAGGCCATTCACTAGAAACATCAATGCAGTCAGAAATGCAGATAGTGGGGAGGGACCAAAATGTCCTGCCACAGCCAGGAACACAGAGAACAAATGACAGCCTTTGCTCCTGACTCCTGCCTCACCTTGACAAGGCTAACCAGTGCTTTTCCTCTTGTTGATTTACAAAGGTCAAATATTTGATGGTTGTTTGCAGTGAAGAAATGATACTTTTTAAATACACAACACCTTTAAATGTCTTTAGCTTTCTTTGAATGCATTACTGTGACCCTGAGACCCACCTGGTTCCATTCCTGTTTCCTGTACAAAGAAATCCAAACTGAGTGAAAAGTTAAAAGGAAGACAGGTCCCTATGTTAGTCAGATAATTAAGGAACTCTTATTTATTCATTGTCTCATCATATTTACCTGGAAGTGTTTTAAGAAAAAATACCATTTTTCGGTTAAAAATTCATCAGATATAAACAAACCAACAATTTTTTCTCAAGTACAGAATTTCCAAAATTAGTGTTAAAACTTCAACAAAAAAGAGTATAGTGTGCTCATGTTCTTTGACCACAAATTTTGTGATTTTAAATCATTAAAAGGTAATGTCTTAAATGTACTGTGCTTTTCTGGACTGAATCCTACAATGGATAGTAGTGGAAATTTATTTAAATATAGATAAAGTTTTGTATTATTCCTATTATTATTATTATTAAGTGGTACCAGGGATTGAACCTGGGGCACTTAACCACTGAGCCACATCCCCCACCCCTTTTTATTTTGAGACTGTCTCGCTATGTTGCTTAGGGTCTCAATAAGTTGCTAAGGCTGCTCTTAAAATTGTAATCCTCCTGCCTCAGCCTCCCAAGTGGCTGAGATTACAGGCATGAGCCACCATGTCAGGAAAAGTCTTGTATTATTTGCTGACATCTCTTAGCCTTGACAAATGTGCCCATGGTAACATAAGAAAACAGTATTAAAGGAAATTAAGTGAGTAACATATTAGAACCCTCTATACCATCTTATTTCTGTTAGTCTAAAATTATACCAAATAAATACTTGAGCACAAAGAAAAAAAATCTGTTCAGTTTTCTGTCAAAAAAGTAGCAATCCCAAATTCATGGTTAATAGCTGTGTGCTACTGAATGGCTATCATGCCTAAGCTTTCTGATCCATAAAAAGCATAAACCTAAAGGAAGATGTGAGTATTCATATCAGCAATATTTTAAGCAATGTCTGCATAAACAAAGTGAGATAAAACTGAACCAGTCATAAGAATAAAATACATTTATTAACATCATACTTTAAAAAATGACTCCTGCTCTAAAATGTAAACAAAATTTATTCATTCATTTAATACTGCTAAAAAAATTATAAATGATTCCAGAATTATAAGCATGTTTGTATTGCTTATACTAGTAATCACAGAAATATAAACTTATTCTATTAATGAAAAGAGATGTAGAAATTTTACATTGGAAATTTATACAGTGTTAATATTGGCAATTAAGAAATATCTAAAATATTCAGCAATTAAGATGTCCATATAAATGAAATTATTACAACTTATCATAACTTGATACTATCAATAAAACATTAATAACATAAAAAATATAAAGCATTTTATAAGTGAGAAATGCAGACAAAAAGAAACACTGATTATTTATAAATATTTTAAATATAATTTTATAATTTAGAAGGGAACACATAACGATGAAAGATATTTTATTTGAAAAATGTGTTTTGTTACTATTGTAGGAGTATTTAGAATTAAGCATCAAGATTAAAAACTGAAACATCAATTTTCCTTAAAGTTCAGAGATAAAATATGAGCTTTATGGTTAATTTATATGCACAGGTGCAACTATTATGCTAACATACCATAGCATCTTATATTAAAATTTTAAACTATTGAAAACTTTCCAAAAATGAACACATTATGGACTCAACCCTCTCTAACCTATATATATTCTTCAATATCAAATTTAATTCTATATTATGATGTAGGTAACAGGTTACAGTGTCCATATTTCTCCTAGAACACTCCTTGTTCTCTCCTTCCTTGATACCATACTCTTGAATATGCTGGCACTGTTCCTGAGATTGTTCAGGGGTCCCTCAAATCATGACTTGTGGCTAGTAGCCACCTCCTTGGAAAGTGACCTTGGGAAATTGACTTCTCTCTGTCCCACTATTCACACTACTCACTTTTTTCTTCCTAACAAAACTAATTATTTAGCAACAAAACTAATTCTCACACCAACTTTCTGCAAATAATATAATTTATGTTTTAAATTTTATTATTTACATATACATACATATACTTGAAAACTGTAAGAGAGATCTGTAATTAGGATGTCATTACAGGCAGTATTTTTGTAATTGTACTTCAAGCAATAAATTTCAGATAATTTACATGCACATGGATGTACATATCAGTCACATTTTCATATAAGTTATTAAATAATTATGTTACTAATTTAAAAATAAATAAAAATCCTATCTGTAATTATCTTTTTTAAAAAATACCTTAAATTTAGCATATATTTGATCTAGGATTCTTCTTCACCCATTAAAGATATATCTCTTGTCCTGCCTGATTAAGTATGTCCTATCTGATTAAATGTATTCCCTTTCCTGGCTATCTAAGATATACATTATTTTCAGATAGCTGGTCCTTTCCTCTGCCCTTAGTATAGTTGTGCCAATTTCCTTAGATGTTTCAATATTTATATTTAATGTGGGTGAAAAAATATCCATTCTCTTCTGGTTTCCTTCTTAACAGATGCCTGAACTTCCTTCTTTTCTGTTGTCTTAGTGATTTAGCTAATGGTAAGGGTGAGACCAAGCTATGACACAGTCCTGAAGCAGTTCTGTACATCAGTCACTTGAACTTTCCTGAATAATTCTGCAACAGGAACCCAATGCAATCTATGACATCAATCACACTTAGCAAATTACATAGTTAAAGCAGA